TAGTAATATAAATATAGCAATACAAAATAAAAGCAACTGATTCAAACTAAGTTTATAGGAATTAATCCTTGATCTTTAAGGAAACTGTTGATTTTTTTTTATAGTCCTGCAGATAAGAAAAATCTTTTTAGAATTAACTTTATAGCTATTTCGTTAAGCGAATGAACTTAATTTAACATAATGCTATCAGTTAAACAGTATAGTTTCTAAACTCATCGGTGGAATTAAGCGCGTTTCTTTATCCATGGCTGGATTAATGTACAGGATATTTTTAATTATTTCTCCTTGTGATATAAATTAGATTTCTTCGTGACTAAATCAATTTTTGATCATGAAAAAAAAAATGTCTTAAGGTGGCTCTAATAAAGTTAAGACTTTCTTCCTGTACATTAACTATAGTAACCGTAAATAATATTTGTTGAAAATTTTCTTGGTTAAAAAAAAGCTATCTTTTTTTATAATGGCACGATGAGTAATAATTTATTTAGCTGACTGAGTCGGCTTGTGTTTTATTTATTTTTTATAACATACGACATCTTCCACTAAAGGATTTAAGAGGATTCTTTAGGGCTGAAGTTTTTCCAAAATAGGAAAATAATTTTCTTTTCATTAATCCATACTTGTTTCTATAAGTGAACTCAGCCAATACCTAAACAATGACAATATATCCTGTTTTTAATTTATAACACATGTACTTCAGATACTACAAGCAATTACGTGTTAGGTAGAAATATAAACATTTGATCCGTAAAAGGTTATTGTCCTGTAATTACCGTTTTTTTTTGTTTTGTTTTTTATTAACAGGTTTTCAAGGACCACTTAAATGTCATTTCATATTATTTCATTCTTTTTCTTCCAATACTTCCTCATTCTTTGTAATCGCTTGGCTCAGTTTTCTGTAGTCCAATTTCCTCTGAAATATTTTGAGCTCTTCATTTAACTGTTTAACATAGCCACTTGACTTATATAGATAAAAAATATATAGAAAATCTGTTCAACCTTGGTCGATTTCCTCAATCCGACAAAGTACATTACACTGATCTTACATTTGATTGGTGGATGATATGGGGCCCACATATCACTGCTAAGCAAAAGGCACTAAATCAACAAGTTCAACTATTATTTTCACGTTTTGGGCGTCGCTCAAAATTAAACGTAAAAAAAAACGTACTGAAACCAATTTAGGCATACGTTTCACGTAACCACACCCCCACACACACAAGGAATTCGTAAAAGAACACATTCAAAAACTACAATTATTTCATTCAAAAACTTTCAGGACAATTACATAAGAATCTTATTAAGTAAACATAACCCTCCACAAAGATTTACGTATGCAAACCATAACTGAATACATGAGAACTTACTACAAAAGGTTTCATAAGTTCTATTGTCACCCAAATAGATTCATTCAAGACATGGCCAAGAAAAAAATTCACGATAACATCTGTAGGAGGTTGAAAAGAAGCTGGATGAGAGATCTCGTTGGATAGCAAATATCATGACTGAAAATTAGCCAATGGAAAATTCTCTTCGTAAACTTATTCTTCTTTGTAATTCTAATCTTTTACATTGGAAGGCGATGTGTCATGAATCCTTCAGGCATTGGTAAGTTTGACAGTAACTGCTCTTAGATACTTTACATGTGGAATTTATTTGTTCTTACATGATTTATTCTAAGCCTGCTTAGCTTTAGTAAAGTAGGGCGAGCGAGATGAAATTTCAAGTGTCGCAAACAATGGAGTTGGATCATTTTATTATTATTTTTTTCCACCTCTACCTCCTAATTTATGCTATAAGTAAATTTTCTCGGGCCACGAGAGAGAGTGGGAGATTAATGGCAGAGTTAATAGCCTCCTGGCACCGGGACGCGAACTCGTTATTATTTTATAACTCGTAAACTTCGGTATACCATGTATTTGGTTGTCAGACAACGCGCGTTTTCCACAAGCGTTAGCCCGCTCAGGCACTCCGCCCCCACATGGAGTAAGGGTTATCTTTTGATGAACTGTCTGATGTTTGTTTTGCTTTTGCTTGTGTCTTTGAGGCACATTCTCAGTCGTAAAAATGCGGCCAGTCTTTTATTATTTTCTTCCTAACAAGTGCAATAATGGAACCTTGGCATTTATACGATGCTGCTGGTTTGATTCGTAGTTTTTTTTTTCCAATCTAATTTCTCTATTTTCCTATTTGTTCCGGCAACAATTGGAGAATGTAATTGTTAATGTCTTTGTGCAACGGATTTCAAAAGAAATGCATGTTTATACTATATTTTGAACAATTAATTTCAAGTGTTTGCCTGCATGACGTTAGGTATGCCACATAGTTCGGCGCTGAAGATACTGAATTCAACTGGTACTCAAAAAGGAAATTTCTGATCCTTTTGGTTGATAAAACGAAAACATTTCGAAAGTGGTTATAACAGTGGAGTGTTGACCTCGTATAAGATTACTTCAGTCTGTTTGCCTGTACAAGGCCGTCCGCCATTCAGTGAGAGACACTCCAGGTTCAGTAGCGGTTGGGAATTGTAGGATCCGTCTAGGAATAAGGTAGGAGTAATTGTAAACAGAGTTTTTTTATTATATTATAACTGTAAGATTTTTATTATGTAATGATTTATTATAATATTTACAACTGTATTAGTATGAATACATCAAGCAAATGTGTACAGAGGAATATAATCACATGAAACACGCTTTTGAGAAACTACCCATTGGTAGCACTCTAATAATTTGTTTACATGAGGAGATCACGAGGCCATCTTCTTTTCAGACGCCTCGGAGAGTTATCAGGAATCGAATAGAAAGCAAGGTTAAAAACAAGAGGATTCAGATGGTTATGAAGTTTATTATGGAAGGATAGGTATCTGGATTTGGCCAAGTCGGAAACATATGGAACATTGAGGTCTTTATTGATTATTTTATTTGTGATAAAGTAAGGAGCATTGAGGATTTTCCGAAGGATTTTGGATTGTAAAGATTGGATATGTAATGATAGTAGTGTTTTAAGAAAACGTTTTGAGAAAATTTCATTTTTCAAACTAGTATTGAAAATTTCATTAATTCCAGAGACGAGTTATAAGCATGGCTGCCACCTTATTTAACAAGAAATACGAAACAAAAAGTTTGACTGGGAATGGGGAAGACATTTAATAAATACCCAAATAGAAGTGTAAGAAAGTATTTAGAGGGAAATATAAAATGTATATATCTATATAATCAATCTATTAAATATTAAAATGTATTTATTTTGAAGCACCGAATTCTAAAAAACAGTTGAATCCAGTTTCCATTTTATATTAACGGTTTTTGTTATATTTTTATTTATTTTATTTGACATTAAATTTGCCACTGCGTTGTAACCCATCAAGCAAATGTGTTGGAGTTTATTCTATTTTCTTGAGTTCTTGATATATATATATATATATATATATATATATATATATATATATATATATATATATATATATATATATATATATATATCAAAGACGACTATAAAGGCAGTGGCCTAGAGATCTTCTGCTGAAAAGTTAAAAAAAAAAAAAAAATATATATATATATATATTTTTTTTTTTTTAACTTTTCAGCAGAAGATCTCTAGGCCACTGCCTTTATAGTCGTCTTTGAGGCTCACCAGGTAACAGGGAGGAAGATAGAGATAGAAAGAGTGGATTTGGATGATTGAGTGTGGAAGAATGAAATGTTGTCTACTTGTTGTGTATGTAGAATTTTACTTTTGGTATGTTCATGTCTGTGTGTATGGTGTGATTTGAAATAAACCCAGGAGCATTGACGATTTTACGGAGTATTTTGGATTGTGAGGTTTGAATTTCGTTTATGTGTGTGTGTGTGTTTGGCGGAACCCTAAAGTTCTGCTCCGTATGTCCAAATAGGTCTTAGTATGGTGGTGGAGATTAGTCGCTTGTTAGTAAGTTGAGTGGACATCTGTAGTCTAAGAGATGTGATAGTTGTTTGTATCGTCTGGTCAGTTCTTGTTTTTTTCAATTTAGTGTGAATGTTCCAGGTGAGTTTTGTGTCCAAGTACAGTCCGAGATACCGTACATGTGTTTTTGAGGGAACTGGTTTATTGTCTATTGACACAGCAGGACACGAGATCTTCCTCAGGGAGAAACTAACATGAGTTGACTTGCTGGGATTGATTTTAATCCTCCATTTGTAAAACCATTTTGTTATAGATCAGAGGTCTCCAAACTTGTAATGAATACACTTTAGGAAGCGTTTAGGAATTTTTTAAAAACATTTTTTAGAAATTGATATATCAATTTTTTTTTTTTTAAGTTCAAAGAATTTCACATCATTCCAAGACTGTTATTCGTACTTTTTTGCACCCATATCTTATTTTAAGTAAAATGAATCGTGACTGCCATTCCAAAAATGTATATTTCAAAATTATTACGCTTGCCAATCGAGCATCCAAACGGGAATATTGTTGCGAAAATGTGTAACAAATTTTAATTATTTTAACTTTTAAATATATGGGTACTAAAATCTAAAAAAAAAAATAAATGCTAACACGGGCTACATCAGAATAACGTTTTTTTTTTGTTTTTTTTTAAACAACTTTTGTTGATATTTCATCTAGAAGTTCGGAACAGTGAATCCAAGTGAAAAAGTTACTTTGAAAAGTTCAAGAACGTTAACTATTTAGTGAGTAGTATGGTTAAAAATAACGCTCAAAATCGATGATATTAACCAAACCAAAAACTGAGATAAATTCCCAAAAATGACTGCAGATAAGCTCTTTTTCTCTTATCAGAGTCTTTTGAGTCTTTCTTGATTCCTTCCGAAGACAACATTTAACATATTTATTTATTTAAGTTCGATTACAATATAATAATGAAGTTGCACATACGTCAAGGGTTCATAAGTTTATTGATAAGTTCATAGCAATATCTACCTAACACACAGTAACATTTATACATTTAGCTTGAATGGATGTATTCCAGTAAGTTTATGTAACCTCGATATGTTTTAGAAATGAACAAAGAAGTCCTTGAAGTGGTCTTGAAGAAGTTGGAAAAGGAGTCTAGGATTGCTTCAATTATAGATCTTCAGTCAGTACCAGCTTTACCAAAAGGGGAAAACACCACCTCCACCATCTTGAGAGTAACATTGAAAGTGATCTTGGGCAATGGAAGGCAAGCTAAGAAGTCCTTCATTATGAAGCAGATGATTACAGAAGGAGTAAGCGGGGAAATAATGAAACAGTCCAATATAGCGAGGATAGAAAGCAAGGTAAGCTATGATTTAGTAGAAAAATAAAGAATACTTATTTTGTTAATACTTCATTTATTTTACATTATATTTGCCGATAACGCATCAAACAAATATGTTGTCATTTGTTATCTCTTTTTCTTTCTATATTTATATACAGTGTGAGCAAGAGATCTCGAAGCCACTGCCTTTTTAGTCATCTTGAGGCTCAACAGGTAACTTGGAAAAAAAAAAAGAGACAGGACGAGTGGATTTGGATGATTGACAGTAGAATAGTGTAATGTTACGTACTTATTATACAGGATTTCACTGTTGGAATGTTTATGTCTTTGGGTATGGTGTTATTTGAATTTTGTTTATGTGGACGTGTTTTGAGAAACCGCATGTCCACATAGGTCGAAAGATTGTGGTGTAGATTAGTCGCTTGTTTTGTAAGTTGAGTGAAGATCTGTAGTACAAAATATGTAAAAGTTACATGTATCATCAGATCAGTTATTGTTTTGTTAAATTTGGTGATTATGTTCCAGGAAAGTTTTTGAGGGGGTGTTATCTATTGTTACTGCAGGCAACGGAGAAAAATTAACTGGTCTTGACTTGTTGCCATTTATTTTTATTTTCTATTTTTTTCAAACAACTTTTCTACATTGTGGAGGTAGTTCTGAAAGGCAACTGATGCGATAGGCAAGAATTGCAGTATCGTCAGTGAAACTATGGGGGGTGATGCTAAGATGCTCAGGATATATGATGTATAGGGAGAAACAAAGAAGAAGGCTTAATATTACCTTGTGGTAAAGAAGAAGAAAAAGAATTTAAGCAATTGTAAAAAGGTAACAAAGGAATAGTCCCTGTCACCTAATGCTGCGGTATATGGCACAATAATGTTAAATAAGAACTACCTTGTAGCACTCCTGCAAGTTGTGGAAACAAGGGAGGAATAGAGGAATCAACAGAAATGCAGAAGAACCTATCTATATAAAATAATAAACCATCTTTTTTTTCCCTGTTAGTTCTTCAAAGTTTGTAGGTCTTTGGATTATATTTGTCTTAGGCTAGGTTATTTCTTTTTATTTATCTGCAAGCAGCTCTATTGCTTCTATCTATCCATCTGATTTTTGGCCTTTCTTCGTGGTCTCTTACCTACTATTCCTTCCTGGATTCCTGGACGGTTGCTCCGAGTTATATAACTCACCAATTTTAATCTCCTTGCCTTTAGACCATGAGATACCTTGTATTAATTTGAGATGTTTAGAGATTGTTTTGGTATGTCAATACTTTTGAAAGATAGCTTTGTTTGTGCTTGTTTTGAGTTGGTCTGTTTCTAAAAGTTGGTCATTGTGGGGGCTAAGTATTTGAATTTTTTGAATGGTATGTTATAAATTACTTTCATAATCAATCAAAAATTAATATTATTCTTCCAGATATATTCTGTAATACACAAAGAGATGACCTATTTAATGGAAGAATTCGAAGACACGGAAGAAACTCTTTGGTGTAAATTCATTCACTTTGACCCGCACTCATCTTCTATCCTGCTAGAAGATCTAAAGGTAAATAAACTGATTTTTCTCGAAGTGAAATGATATTAATTTAAAACTGTTTGTTCTATAGCGTATTTTTTTAAATTAGGTATGTGGTTACAGTTTGGTTCCTAGACAGAAAGGTTTGGATTTGGACCATGCTATCCTCGCTCTTAGAGGTTTGGGGAAGTACCACGGAATGGCTAAGGTTCTAGAAGAGAGAGGAATCATCTCCAAAGACGAATACAAACCTTGGTTTTGGTTAAACGACTTAAAACCTGTCAAATGCATTCTTTACGGAGGTATTTCAAACCTAGCTAAGGTTATGAAAGAAAGTTGGGGCCCTGAATGGTAATTTTTTTTTAATTGATAATTACTACTCTTCCTTATATTAATATTATATTTTGAAACAGATAATCATAGATATTGTTATAAATATAATTCAGTATTTAAGGATATTCAGATATTAGTCGCATATCTGTCATTCGTACGGGAATATTTTGAGCACAATGATCATTCTTCACTTCTTTTTTAGCTTCTTTACTATGTAATAAGGTTTCGTATTCGTGCGGAAGAATTTTTAAGAAAAATTGGTATGAAGGAACGAAAATGGTCCAGTGTATGTTAGAGGGTACAAAATGGGATATTTAGACCTCTAACTGTTGTAGCTGTGGACCGGTATTTGATAAGATTAGTATTGTTTACTTTCTCCTTCACATGTCTACAGGTCACTTAGTGCCTAAAAAGGAAATAGAGAAAAATTGAATCACAAATATTTTCTGTTGGGGAAGTTACTCGGAGAAGCATCTCGTGTTTGGAAGGAATCGATCAGAAGAGAACTTAGGAAAGTCTGGAAAAGAGATCAGTTGGAAGTGTTCGTAAGAAAACTAGTAGGCTGAGCCCAGCCAAGAAGAGAAACTTAATGCTTGGTTATCTGAGAGGACAAAGAAAATAGACAAGAAGTTATATCGATATAGCGGCACCTGAAACCAGAACGAAGTAGCAGAAGATTCCATCATATTTCTACAAACAGATAAGTCATAATAGTCATTCAAAATCTACTCATGTAAATCTATAGAATAGTAGACTGGTTAATCATGTTCACTTCAGAATTCTCAAACCAATACTTTTAGATATATTTATAATGTTTAAACCACGAATAGATTTTTACTCAGCATTTGATTTTTAACCTTTCTACTTTTTGTTTGGAGTTAAAATTTCTTTAGGAACGTTTTGCATTTTTTTTTTTTTTTTGTAGAGAGTGAATTAGATTCAACCGTCAGATTTCCGATATGTAACGCTCGGGTAAAGTCGGCTGGATTCGACTTATAGAAGTGGATTTGCATATTGATTAAAGTATCTCAGAAACTAAAAATCGGACCTACATACTGCAAGCGAGAAAAATGTTCAGCATTTCATCATCTTTATAATGATCTGTTATTTATAATTTATTAATCCCGCCTTGTTAGTGTTTTCATTTATATTGTGTGGTCTAAAGCATATACTTTAATTTTTTTTTTTAACTCTCTTGCATGCACATTGTAAATCGGTAACACGATAACCTTGAAAATGAAATCTGATATTAACTATAGCTCTAACTAGTACAACATATCACAGCAAAGATGTTTGTGACATTTAGCATTTCTTATTCATATTAAATATATAATTAACATAGTTTTATTTAATAGAGCGACTCCTTTCTGGAGCCCATAGAAATATAAATGTATATAGTAGAAATATATTACATACAGTAAATAGAATTATACCCTTGCTCGTGCTAGAAAAGCGCAAAGCCAGAAACATAGCAACTCTTTACTCTCATAACGTATTTCTCCGTTACAGTCTTACCAAACTACTTTGTTATGATATACTAGAAAATTATTTAGGGAACTGGATAGTCAATAATAAAGTAACATAGACGTAAGGTAAGTAAGTAGTTGATAAGTGAGCAATAAGCGGTCCGATGTAGCCATAATGCGATACTCATTGTAATTATTATCAATAAAACCATTCTCAAAATTTCATTATTAGTAATATTTGTTAACGCATTTAATTTTAAAAAATATATAAACTAATAATTCATGTGAACAATTATTAATAAGTGCGCTAACTTGCAGGGAAGAGACAGCAAATAAATTGAAGATACCGTTTGATACATTTACTGCAAAGTGGAGCAGTATGGGAAAGGTTCAGAGTGACGCAAATTTTACAGTTCTCAACCACGGAGATTGCTGGTCAAACAATATGATGTTCAAATATGACTATCACAAGCGACCTATTTTTGTGAAGTGAGTGATTTTATATATAATATTGTAAAAGTCCGACGTTTGGACAATCATAGAATTTGTTTAAAATAAGCTAGTTGGGAAGGCAGTTACTTTATAAAGTAAATTTATCTGTTATTCATTTATTAGTTGAATGCTTTAAGTAATTATTAATCCTTGATATTGTTAACACTGCTCTAGTGACGTCATGACTCATGCAGTCCCTCGGGCTGCATTTCAACTTTCGATCCGTATTACCGCCTACCTCTTTGGGTAATCGATCTTCTAGGCTTGATTCAACAATATCGATTCGGTTAGAGACAGATTTAAAAAAAAACGACTTGATCCATAGAAAATTAAGGGGACCCTACACGGTCAATCGGAATTGCACTAATGACGTTCCGAATTGTCGTGTAAGGTAGTGAATGAAGTACTGATGGTGGTGCGCTGCGGATTTCCGAACATCCGGAAATCAAAGGTTCATTCACGAGAAGTGGAGGGGGGGCTGAGGTAAAAGTAGTGGGGGGACTAACCATACTGCTGGATAGGGTAGGTTACCTAGGCCTCACGACCATTATAAATTTCTGATTTTCGTTATATGTAAATAGTTAAATAACTTTTCATATCCCTTGTTTATAATTTTAAACCTTCTTCAACTATTTCTTTTAAATAGTCAAGTGGGCAACAAAGTAAAAAAAAAAAAATGAGAAAACTTCACAATTTACTTTAGGAAAAAAAAAAACTTTAACGTTGTGTATATTTATCAGTTCTTTTCCTATTTTCCTCAACAAATTTATTATTTTCGCAATACCTTTCCTTAATTTTTGTAAGTAGTAGACTTATATTTTACTAACTTTTGTCAAAACGATTTTCTATGAGACTAACCTTACTACTAGATAGGTTAGTTTACCTAGGTCTCGTTATTAAGTAAATAATTTCATAAAAGTAAATAGTTGTTTATATCCCAAGTCTATATTGTTATTAACCATTTTCAACCATTTTTTCTTTAAATAGTCAAGTAGGCAATAAATTGGAGAGAAAAAAAAGTGGAACCTTCACAATTTACTTATAGAAAAAAAATCTTTAACTGTTGTGTTTATTTGCCATTAATTTTTCCATTTTTCTTAACAAATTGATTATTTTCGCAATACTTTTTCTAGATATTTGTATCTAGTTGACTTATATTTTTCTAACTTTGGTCTAAACGATTTTCAGGCACTAGGAAGTAATTATTATATCTCCGTTTTTCTGTTGATGCCCAGTAATATAAATGACAATGTCCAAATCAGCATATCTATGCTGTTTCTTTGTTTACAACTGAGCTAAATTGGTATCAGCAACGATAAGTAATGATCATTAATGATTGACCGTGTAAGGGTCTTCACGATCAAAGCGATCGCGGGCAATATTGGCACTTCTTGTGACGTTAATTCATGAATTACCGTGTAGGGTCCCCTTTACAGTTTTTTGTAGATAATTAGTAAATGTTCAATTATTAGCGGCAACATTATTGTCTGAGTGTTCGCTGGAGTTGCAACTCTTCTTATCTTGTATTAATTGCCAAGCATATTTTATTTAAGGGGTACTCGTACACTTGTAAATGCTTAATGTGCTATCATGCTAAGCAGTCAGCACAAATTTTGAATGAATTGAAATAACCTGTCTCTGCTAACGTGCTAAAGTGTTATCAGTTATAGTAAGGTTATGTGCCTGTACAATAAACAAAGTTTCTGAGTTAAAATACCAAAGCGAAGTGAAAATACTGAATTGCTTGATTATTTGGTTAAAGATGCTTTATTAGAAAGCATGAATGAAGGTTCAGATGATTCAGAACATAAATTAAATCCTAGCTTAGTACTTACATTTCATTTCTGTGGATATTGTACAAAAACAAAGAATCAAACACATCAAAACCTTGCAATAACTTTCTCAGCGCATTTACGAAGTTAGCAACAGTCTACGGGACATTTGGCTGCGTTAAAATCGAGTGTGCTAGCGTCCATATTCATGACACATTTCGTAAGTAACTTTCTCGACTTTACACACTTAAAAGGTTAACAATACATAGCACTGTTAGCATATTACTCCTTTTGTATTTGTTCTTCCGTTTGTAAAATTATTTTTTTCTTTATTTCTGTATAGTTACTTAGTTAAATAAATATTTGAATTTTTTTAATCATTTAAAAATGTGTATTTTGCATGTAAACTGGATTATTTATTAAGTGAACACGTGAGAATCCCTTATAATATCATCAAAAATATACACTGTTTATTTATACTGTTTCAGATTTTTGGATTACCAAATACCACATCATAACTCACCATGTATAGACGTAACCTATTTCTTTTTTCAAAGTATCCAGCCCACAGTTCGTCGAAGTAACTACGAATTCCTGCTGAAGACTTACCACGACTCCTTGGTGAGAACTTTGGACAAGTTTGGTTTCACTGGTACCAAGCCAACTCTTGAAGAAATTACTGATACAATGAAGCGTGTGGAATTATTCGGACTGACGTTTTTCGCAGCATTACACCCTTCTATCATATGTTCATCGACAGAAGCTTTCGACATCGAGCTGGTTCTGACGTCTGAAGGAGAAAAAGGATTCAATGAAGACATTTTGAGAGAACCTGGAATGATCGAAGAATTGGGGCCGGATATAACTGATTTAGTAGAAAGGCACTTCTCTGCTCTAGATTAAAGTATGCGGCTCAACAAACATTTCAGATATAAATACCCCATAAGTAATGTGGGTATTTAATTGCGTGGTGTAAGGCGTATGATAAAATCAATGAAACATGTTCAATCTAAAACGTTGTTCTATAATAATTTGCCATCTTGAAACCAAATTTTATTTAGCTTTTCAGAAAAAAAAAAATCCTTTGGTTTTGAATTAAAGAAAGCCAACACTCGTTTTTCAATTCATAAACTGAATTCACGTAATGGCACATAATATATTATCATCCGAAGTCCTTAAATTTTTACAAAATGGGGCTTTGCATTTTCATATTGGAATAAGAGATTTTTTTCCTAAATTGCCCATTTAAATCACATTAGATGTCTTTTGATCTTTGTGATCACCTGATTACAGTAGATATCATAGGCGTAAACTTTCCATTTTGATAGGGAGGGAGCTGAAGGGACCAAAAAGAAAATGGCGGCAGTATATATTGAATGAATGAATGAAAATAATTTTATTATTATGGGACTAGTGTCCCTTTAAAACAAGTCACAAATACAGAATATATATTAATATTTTGGTGTGTCCATAAAGTACAATTTAATATTTACAGGTGATATAGATTAAGTGTATTATTATGTGTATAGATTCAACAAAATTATTATGAAACGAACAAATATAATATGGGATAATTAAAAATAAATTTATATATATATGTTCAGATAGTTGTAGTTATGTGCTTTTGGAAATACTTGAAGATATCTTTAAAAAAAATTGGATATATTAAAATTTGTATAAATTAAACATGAGAAGAAGGGAGACAGCCCCCCAGTAAATACGTTTCGCGAAATTTTTCAACTAAAAATTAATATTAATATTGATTTATTAGTTTGTAAATCTTCAAATAAAAATATAATGTTTTCACTGCCTGACTATCTAATAATGCATACATAAAAACATTCTCTATAAAATATATTTATACCGTTCTTATTAAATATATGTTTTCCAAGTTAATGGCAGAAAAGTTATAAGAAAATCACGTGAAAATGGAGGTGTCCTTATGAAATGCGAATGAACCATAAAATACAAAGATATGTTTCTATATTATTATTCCTGAATATAAATGAAAATTTAAATAATAGAAATATTTAAGTCGTGATAAAATAGTTACGTATCTACTTATAGGCCTCAACATTTTTATTGGAGAAGCGATCGCTAGTGATAGATTTAAAGAAAGCAATTGATGATAAAGAATTCCTTCCATATCCCACCAAACAGGGGTCATTACTTTTTTGTATGAAGTTCTTTTATTGCTTCTGTTATCGGTGTTTATCCAGGACTTAACCATTGTCGTTCACTAATGACGTTTTATGACGTCCTTATATTTCTGCAAGTTTCCTTTTTATTGAAATATTTTCTCCTCTGTCGAATTTCCAAAACATAACGTGGTGTAAATAGTTTTAGTAGAGATATCCATTTTAATTCAAATTTCAGCACACAAAAAATAACTTTCTGCAACAAGAACATGATAAATAGAAGAATATGCAATGCTATAATAAAGAAAATATGTCAGATACAATTAAAATGTAAAGGAAGGATCAATGATATTAACATAAACAGAAAGGTCTTTAAGAACTGGTATTACTTATGGTATGACATGGAACATATTAATGATAAGGATAAAAAAAAATTGTCGAGTAAATCAGTGAAGTGATAGCGTCTTTACCATATTTGTTGGGTGCGCCTGATAAAATACACATGTACATAGATATTTTACTAAAATTATAATTTTACATAAAAGTAATTAGAATAATCAAATAAAACGCATATAATAAATCATTAAGTATAAAAACTTATTTAACCTCCTGTTGTCATATGTTTACTGCCAACCACATTTCAGAGCTAGTATATTCTTAACAACCATATGTTGAATTGTATTTTTTGTTGTGAAATGAGAGAGAAAAAAGAACACTTTATTTCCATATAAAATATTGCTGCGCAATTATATTGGGTTACTGGACACACAGGATACTGATTAATCTTTAAGATAATCAATAAAGCTTATACATAAATATAAATATATATATATATATTTTTTTTTCAGTGTTGAAGCACTTTTTTAAATTCCATTTAATTTCCCTTTCCTCTACCTTCTCTCTCTTTATCTCTCTAAAATGGTACATGTATTAAAATGCTTAATATAAATTCAATATAAACAATAACAAAAACAAAAGTGTATATACAATGAAACTTTTTCAATAAATAAATACATAAATTAAAATTCTAAAATGGGTAGGGTCCATGCACGTGGTGGAGAATGATTACCAGGGAGTCGAAGGGTATATTTTCATAAAATTTTAATAAAATTGATACCAAAACATTTGCATATTATTTCTTAAATGTCTTCTAATTTTGAGCAAACTCTAATGAGCCGTTTCTAAAAAATAGGCGAGGTAAAAAAAATACATGTGGAGATTCGTAAGCAATGAAATTTGATAAAATCAGTACAGGAAAATTTGTTTTCACTGATTCCTAATTTATTACAACTTAAGTGTTTGTTTTACTTTTATTGGTGTTTGTTTTACTTTTATTTCTATTTTTATTTACTTATGTGTATATATATATTTTTTTTTTTTCTTTACTCTTTTGTTCTTTCTTCTTATTCTTTTGTTATTACTTTATTTATTTATATTTTTGTATATACGGTATGAATGCAATCTCTGAACTCTATTATAAGTGTCCTTAACTGTGACAAATTGTAATATTTCTGAATAAAGTGTTTTAATAATAATAAATTACAACTTAGTGTCAAATCAAGAAATTCATTCATCAACGATCCGCAAGCAGAAATAAAAAGGATTTATTGAAATTAATATGGATTTATTGAAATACTAAATCACACGATCCCTGAAAATTTCAATTTTGTACTAGAATTGACTACAGACAGATATGGAACTCAATTTGTTTTTTGGTATCCAAAACGTAAAACCCAAGGAGAATATGGTGGAAATATAAACATCAACGTTTTTGATATGGACTTAAAGGTTATTAAATTCTTGAGGTCTGCTATCATTATATTTCCCTCTACTTATGAGACACCTTGTGTATATAGAAATAAAAACATATGTGTATATATATATATATATATATATATATATATATATATATATATATATATATATTATATATATATATATATATATAATCATTCTAGTAAGTTTGCCACAACAAGGTCATCGGCTATTCAGTGAGAGACTCACCGGGAACAGCAGTAGTTGGACCTACATGAGAATAAGGTAGGAGTTTTTTAAGTCGTTTATTTTCAAAATGAAACCTAATAGATTTTTTGAAAATCGAGATAAGTATCGATCCTTTTAAAAAACACCCAACAAATCCGATTGTGCAGCCATTTTTTGTCAAAAGTGAATTTGAATATAAAAAAATATAGTGTTAGAATTACTCTAATTTCACCTACCGCAATATTATAACAGAAATGATAGTCTGAGAAACCATCCAAAAATATTGAAAATATTTTTTTTTAAATATGTATGACAATTATATTATAAAAAAAAGTCTGCCAACTGAATCATGGTACTTGAAATAATGGTGGTCCAATTAAAGAATATAGCCCAGTAACTTGAGGATCGAAACGGAAAGTTTTTCTGGAAAAAGTTTTTATATTTTTAACTTTTATATATGGGCTCAAACCAGAGATAGGCAAATGCTACTCTTGGTACCGAGTAACAAGTATTTTACTCAAATTGAATCACTACTTCAGTTAATCGTTTGACATCAACTGAAGTAGTAAATATATATTTTGGTACTCAAAAAAGGCCAGTATTTGAGTAAAATACTAGGTACTCAGTACTCAGGATAGTATCAACCCATCCCTGGTTCAAAAATGTAAAAACAAAATTGTTAACACGGGCCACAAAGGGAAACTTTTTACAGAAAAAATAGCGTTTTTTTTTATTATTATTTTTTTTGTTTACATCCATAATTTCTAAACGGTGCATCAAAGCGATAAACGTACTCTTTAAGAAATTAAGTTGTACGTTGTACAATTACCTAAACTAGACCTCATCGTAGAAGAAATTTTGAACGAAAATTAATGTTATTTTAATTGAATATTTAATAATTGGCCGTTGCATTATAAAGGAAGGAGTTAGTCCGGGGTGGCAGTCATAAATAGGTTTAATAGTGGCAAAACTATTTTATTAAAAGACAACGTTTCGAACCGACTTTGCAGGTCTTCTTCAAGAAGGTGTGTTCAGGAAGTAGTTTCACTTAGAACTGAATGTTATTTTCAGTAATCTGCATGTTATTTTAAGTAAAATGAACTTTGTCTGTTATTCAAGAGCCACTGTTTTCAAAAAAGGCAGCTGAATTAAAACATATTAGGCCATCAACTAGAATTGAAGTGGGAAATATATCGTGAAAAATGTGGTTTAAAAAGTTTATAATTTTTTATTTGTATATATGGGTTCTAGCATGTAAAAACACGAAATTGCTAACGCGAGATATTAACCGAAGCCAATTTTTCTTTCATATATTTAACGTTCTCTGATTTTTTAAAGATTACGATTTTCTTTTCGATTCACCATTTAGAAATTATAGGTGAAAAAACAAAAACAAAAATCGTTTTTCTTGTGTGAAAAGTTATTCCTTGGTTGCTCACGTTAGCAATTTTGTTTTTTACATTCTAGAACCCATATGTACAAGTTATAAAATTATTAACGTTTTAATCCACATTGTTCACAATATATTTCTCGTTCGCTCCTCATCTTGATGGTCTAATACTCATTAAATCAGCTGCCATTTTTGAAAGCAGCGGCTCTGGAATGGCAGACGAGGTTCATTTTACTTCGAATAACATACACTTTCGCAATTTACATCCAAACCTTTGCCTACGATTAGGTGCTTCTTAGGCCCCTGACTCCAGGGCTAATAGATTTAGTGGTCATTAATAGAGTTTCCGAATTCAATGTTTTTAACGAGAGGTAGATCTAATCTTTATGTCA